TTGTGATGTATCATTTACTTTCTTTTGATTAGCTTGCCAGGGCACTGAAACAACAGGCTACTTATGTACCGTTTATCCGATAAGGCCCCATACATAACACAGCAGATGGCTAATTTCTTTTTAATTACTATGTGTATAAGAGCCCAACTGATTGATTATACTAGCCAGTCTTGATAAATTGTAGTATATTCTTGCTTTTCTTCTTGTAAATGTATTTGTTATATTTCAGACTGAGCAATGTCATAGTAATTAATAGGTCATATGACCATAATAAAGGTAATTCATTAACTCAACTGTACATTTCCACTAATCTGATCAGATTTCAGAATCTGCAAATGGACAAAAGGCCTGCTTTACTGTGAGATGAGCTCCCATTCCAGGCACTGGTGCATTAGGGCAGCGGTTCTCAAAGTGTGCTCCGTGGAGCCCCTGGGGCATCGCAATGCATACTGAGGGGCTCCGTGGTTCTCTCCTCCTACTCCTCCCCCTTCTCCTCCTCCAAGCTTTCCCTCCTCTTTCCCGCTCCCCCCTCCCTCACTTCCCTTTCCACCAAAAGCCCTTTTCCCTCACCTTCCTGGCTTCCAAAACCCTATTTCTTTCCCATTGCTCAGGGAGTGGTTTGATTATGCTTTTCTTTCATGGCAGAAGGGAATTGAATTGGATGTTTTTGCTATTATTATTATTATTATTATTATTATTATTATTATTATTATTAACAAAGGCTGGATGGCCATCTGATGGGGGTGCTTTGATTGTGTTTTTCCTGCATGGCAGAAGGGGTTGAACTGGATGGCCCCTGGGGTCTTCCACTTAAATTTTTGTTAAGTTTATGTTGGTTAAAATTTTTAAAAGTTTGCCCATGTGACACACACACACACACCATTTCTTGGGACTCCAGAAGAAACTTTTGCTTCAAAAAGGGCTCCGCAGCTGAAAAAGTCAGGGAACCCCTGCATTACGGAGAACATGTAAGAGACATATGCATCTCCAGAGCCCAAACTTGTTGGCCCTAAATTGTTTCATTCCATTTTTCTAGGTGGAATTTTTCATTCCATTTTCCTATGTGTTTACATAGGCAGCAGTTTGCATCCAGAGATGCACATATTCATTTCAAAATGAAGACAGTCATAAGAAACATCGGAATCCAATAATTTCCAAAATCATTGCTTCACACTATGAATGGTTGAGCTTGGGCATAATAATGAATTACATATCATTATGGAATAATGTGGATGTGAGCCTCTGAATGCTTCTCTGGTGCACCTGCAAGGAGGCTATTTCAAGTTCTTGTTATTATGTCCCAATGAGACAAAGTGAGATCCAGCATGGAAGAGAAGTTGGGTGGCAATGTGAGGACAAGAGAAATGCAGGTTCAAATTCCCATTCAGACATGAAACTCACTGGATTATCTTGAGTCAGTAGCTAAATCTCAGTCTGATCTATCTTACAAAGTTATTGTAAACAGGAAGAGAACTATGTATGTTATTTTGAGTGCCTTAGAGGAAATAAATGTGTTGCCTTGTGTTCCTTAGAGGGATATACAGTACATGAAATAAAATAATGGAAAATAGTAGTTAGTCTTAATTAGTGATAGCTAAAACAAGCCAATTTCAAACATTAGGTTATGGCTTGTTTCATTCAATCATAACTAAGGGTTCACTGAAGCTTCTCCCTGTAACGGCACAGTTTATTGTTGCATCCCGAAACTGCCATAGAATATTGTGGAAAGCTTTTACATAGGCGTTTATGAGAACATAGATTTAAGTCACTCCATTTCCAAGTAATAAAGCCAACAGTGTTTCAATGTCACCTCTGGGGCTTGTTCATGAGGCCTTCTTCTCCGAACGAATGCAAGTGACCATAAGGGGGGGGAGGGGAACCCAACCAAAAATCTGTATTTAAAAATTTAAAAATCTGTATTTAAAAATCTGTAAGTTTATTTAACTTTATTAACCAAAAAGACAAAATACCTGTACCAGCAAACAAGACCCCAGAACCCTTAATCAGGCAAAAAATAAGAGAACATAAATGAAAGCAGAAATGGGGGTTAGGCAGACAGGACAGGGAAAAAATTAAAATAAGTGACTGGATGACCCAAATCAAAAATCTTTATAATGGTCATAGGCCAGCATAAGGAGAGTAAGGTACCATCTCATAAAATTATTGTACAGGGTGAGGCAGCATAACCTTTTTTCAAAACTTAATAAAACCCATTGTATAAATCAGAATTTTTTGATTTTTTTAAATAATGTAGGCGCATACATAAAGTTTTGTTTTACGTAGTTTTGAAGATCAAATTAGGTAGGTGACATCCCCCATTTTCCATACACTGAGTAAACCAATTTCTGGTGTTTGACATGACTCTTGCCAGCATAACAGGCGTTAAGTTGGCAATTTCTTCCTGGATGTTGGTCTTCAAATCTTGTAGGGTCCTTGGACAGTTCACATAAACACGGGATTTCAAAAAACCCCATAGAAAAAAATCACAAGGGACCAGCCACTCCAAATCCACTTGAAAAGTAGGTCTCATTGGCAAAAGCATGCTCCTCACTGTTCCAACGCATGATGACGACTGAACTGTGTCAGGACAAAACTTTATACTCCCGCTTCTCGAACAAGACCACTAGCGCTCCGCTATGTCTTCAACCGACTGAATTGCGTGCATTTAAAAAAAAGGAAGTTATGCTGCCTCACCCTGTACATTAAAATCTGAAACTAGAAAACAGAGGTATGTTGAAGGCTAAAGCAAAATAAAAGAACATAAATGAAGGCAGAAATGAAGGTTAGGCAGACAGGACAGGGAGAAAATTAAAATAAGTGACTGGATGACACAACGGGCTGTAGAAGAGGCAAAGTGGCAAAGCACAAGAAGAAATATACACCTAATATGAGAGGCAGGATCATAAACATGAAAAGCCAGAAGAAACAATTAACAGGCCATGCCAGAGTGGTTTTCCTGCTACATGTTATAAAGGTAAAGGTTTTCCCCTGACATTAAGTCCAGTCTTGTCCAACTCTGGGGGGCTGGTGCTCATTTTCATTCTAAGCCAAAGAGGCCAGCATGACTTCATGAAGTGTTGTTATCTTCCCACCTAAGTGGTACCTATTGATTTACTCACATTTGCATGTTTTCAAACTGCTAGATTGGCAGAAGCTGGGGCTAACAGCAGGAACTCACCCGGCTCCCCAGATTTGAACCTGTGACCTTTCGGTCAGCAAGTTCAGCAGCTCAGTGCTTTAACACACTGGGGGCTACATGTTATGGGGGCTGCTATAAGGTTGGGAGCACAGGTCCAAGTTCTGTATAGCTGTTTAAGTTATTTTTGACAAGGCATCAATGGAGTATGAATTCTATACTGTTTACAGAGATGTGTCATGAAGCATCTTGCAGCAAAGTGTGTACAGTCATATTTACTATTCATCTTTTCTGAGGATGATGCTAAATAATTCACATTTATAGTTACTATGTGTTGCTAGTCCTGGCTGGGATTATTTACTAAGAGCACATGAGTTAAATATGAAGCACTAGTTTTCTTGTCATATTCTACTCTCCCTCCCTCCAGAATCACCATGTTTGCAGTAAAGTCAGGTTTCTAACTTAAAGTGCTGTTTGCAGCATACACTGCATGTAAAACACAAGGTATTTTTAGTAACTAAACATATTAGGCTTTGATCACATAATTGAGAAACGTCATATAATCCTACTGAAAACCACTGATTGCTCCCTCCTGTCTAAAACCTACATTAATCTTAAACTGCAAAATCCATGCAGTCTTGCTTAGTGTATGCTTGAAGTCACCCATTTACATGGTTGTTGAATATTAAAAACATGTTTCATCCATTAATTTTAAGCATAGAAAACATGAGATTATCTTTCGTACTGCTTACTCTTCATCTGTTGTAATGTCTCTAGTGCTGTAATGTATTTGCTCATCATGGATAGAAGAGTGACATCTCTCTATGTCCTACTCCTTGTTTCTTTAAAAAAATGTTCCATTGATAGTCATTAATACTGCCTCCTTAGTGATTCTTCATTGACCTTCCCATTCTCTATCAAGCAAGGAAGTTATTTATAAATCAGATTAAATGGACAGACCCTTTAAACTGAGATGGTTCCAACTATTCCAGATACAGAGAGAATACCAAGTTAATAAGCAAAATATTTAAAAGAAAATAAATAGTGTAAATATAAAAAAGTATAAAAGGCTGAAGAAAAAACAAACCAGTCTCCTAGCCATGCAAATAGTATCTTTTGATTTGAGAAACCACTCCTCTGTACAATATCAACTGCAAAGAAAACATCTCGTAAATATGAATAATGACACAATAATGTCGAATTTTACTTCTCTATGCGTTTGTTTAGAAGCTGTTTTGAAGCCAGACTCCTTCATGTATTAATGGTTGATTTGGTTGCTGTTCACAGATTTCCAAATAAAGAGCTATTGCCGAATGAAGAGTTGAGATGACACTCTGCAACTTACATCAACATATTTAATATATGATCATGCACTGTTACATCAAAGATGAATCAATGATATTGAAATAATGACTGAAATACAGCCACTTACATTGCTACATGGAGTGCCAGGAAGAATGGATGGATGAACACATGCGTTGACATATGAGGTGGAAAAGGAATATATGTTCCATGTTTGATTTATTCCCCCTTCCCTAAACCATTAAACAATCTGGTTGTAAATATCCAATCAAGCCTCCTTTGTAAAAAAAAAAAACAACAAAAAAAACAGGTGTACACTACCTTACTAAACAAATTGAGAGCCATTGTGTCATATATTTATTTGAGGAACAAAAGGGTACAAGAAAATAATAATAGTAATAAGAAGAAAGGGGGAAATCTCTAACTTTGTGGTATTTTGGTTGCAGCAACAGTTCTGTACAAGTTCCCAGCCTAATAGATCAGCAAATGTAGAAATTTGTCATTTAAGACAACACACCTACCCAGGCAGGAAAGAAAAGGTCTTCAGGCTATTTCCACCTACCTGTACTAGTGCGGTATGTGCCTGTATGTGCTGGTTGAAGAGGGTCCCCCTGACTCTGGCTGAGACTCCTCATAGGGGGTTTCTGATATACTCTGTCTTCGTAAATAGGATCTATATGGTGCTCTGGAGACTGTAGTGACCTTAAATCAGAGCCCAGGTGGCTATGTTGGCTGGTGTAAGACGACCGGGATCCAGCTGCAAAAGAGAACAACAGAGGGACTTTAGGGGAAAGAGCAGAATCAGCTCCAACAAAACAGTACAAGAACAATTGAAGGTACATCTATGCTTTACTAACAACAAAAGCAAAACAACTGAAAGCAATCACAGCAACCAAAGCAGAAATACTTAAAAAGCAAACCTCAAATAAATCACTCATGTATAAGAAACCACACGAGAAGACAGCAGCAACTCAAGTTTCTCATGCTATCTGTATCACAAAGTCATGTTTTGACACACAATCAGATTTTCTAAATGAGATGAAAAAAATAAAAGCCTCTCCCCATATATTTTTGCTTTATCCCAAAGAAGCCTGCTTGCAATAAAGTAAATATTCAAATAGATGCCACAATTTATGTCTGTATGTCCTATCCAAGACAGAAATCACCACCAATTATTCTCCAGCGTTATCATTCCACCTGACCTCATGCATCCTCCCTTCAAGCATGACAGGATTTGTGTGATCTGTCAGCTGTGTTGTCACAAACTGTGTAGACACCAGATTGCTAGGATTTCCTAAAACATAAATCTCCTATGGGTGAATATATTAAACCTTTAGGAGATGACATACACAAATGTAATAATACTGAACTATATCCAAATCTTATCTTATCTTATTGCCAAATTTAGAATAAAACTAAAGAGATCAGGGAAAATACACAGACCAGTTAGATATGATCTCACTAACATTCCTAGCGAATATACAGTGGAAGTGAAGAACAGATTTGAAGGACTAGATTTAGTAAACAGAGTCCCAGAAGAACTATGGACAGAAGTCCGCGACATTGTTCAGGAGGCGGCAACAAAGTACGTTCCAAAGAAAAAGAAAACCAAGAAGGCAAAATGGTTGTCTGCTGAGACACTGGAAGTAGCCCAAGAAAGGAGGAAAGCAAAAGGAAACAGGGATAAGGGGAGATATGCCCAGTTAAATGCGCAATTCCAGAGGTTAGCCATAAGAGATAAGGAACTATTTTTAAATAAGCAATGCATGGAAGTGGAAGAAGACAACAGAATAGGAAGGACAAGAGACCTCTTCCAGAAAATTAGAAACATTGGAGGTAAATTTCAGGCAAAAATTGGTATGATAAGAAACAAAGATGGCAGGACCTAACAGAAGCTGAAGAGATCAAGAGAAGGTGGCGAGACTATACATAAGATCTGTATAGGAAGGATAATAATATTGAGGATAGTTTTGACGGTGTGGTGAATGAATTAGAACCAGACATCCTGAGGAGTGAGGTTGAATGGGCCTTAAGCATTGCTAACAACAAGGCAGCAGGAGACGACGGGATCCCAGCTGAACTGTTTAAAATCTTAAAAGAGGATGCTGTCAAGGTGATGCATGCCATATGCCAGCAAATATGGAAAACACAAGAATGGCCATCAGACTGGAAAAAATCAACTTATATCCCCATACCAAAAAAGGGAAATGCGAAAGACTTCTCAAACTTCCGTACAGTGGCCCTTATTTCTCATGCCAGTAAGGTAATGCTCAAGATCCTGCAAGGAAGACTCCAGCAATACATGGAGCGAGAGTTGCCAGATGTTCAAGCTGGGTTTAGAAAAGGCAGAGGAACGATAGACCAAATTGCCAATATCCACTGGATAATGGAGAAAGGCGAAAGAGATAATGGAGATAATGGAGAAAGGCAGGGAGTTTCAGAAAAATATCTACTTCTGCTTCATTGACTATTCTAAAGCCTTTGACTGTGTGGATCATAATAAATTGTGGCAAGTTCTTAGTGGGATGGGCATCCCAAGCCACCTTGTCTCTCTCCTGAGGAATCTGTACAAGGACCAAGTAGCAACAGTCAGAACTGACCACGGAACAACAGACTGGTTCAAGATTGGGACAGGCGTACGGCAAGGCTGCATACTCTCACCCAACCTTTTTAACTTGTATGCAGAACACATCATGCGATGTGCGGGGCTTGATGAATGCAAAGCTGGGGTGAAAATTGCTGGAAGAAACATTAACAACCTTAGATATGCAGATGACACCACTCTGATGGCCGAAAGCGAGGAGGAGCTGAGGAGCCTTCTAATCAAGGTGAAAGAAGAAAGCGCAAAAGCCGGGTTGCAGCTAAACGTCAAAAAAACCAAGATTATGGCAACAAGAATTATTGACAACTGGAAAATGGAAGGAGAAACCATGGAGGCCGTGACAGACTTTGTATTTCTAGGTGCAAAGATTACTGCAGATGCAGACTGTAGCCAGGAAATCAGAAGACGCTTACTTCTTGGGAGGAGAGCAATGTCCAGTCTCGATAAAATAGTGAAGAGTAGAGACATCAGACTGGCAACAAAGATCCGCCTATTCAAAGCCATGGTATTCCCTGTAGTAACCTACGGATGTGAGAGCTGGACCTTAGGGAAGGCTGAGCGAAGGAAGATCGATGCTTTTGAGCTGTGGTGTTGGAGGAAACTGCTGAGAGTGCCTTGGACTGCGAGAAGATCCAACCAGTCCATCCTCCAGGAAATAAAGCCCGACTGCTCACTGGAGGGAAGATACTAGAGAAGTTGAAGTACTTTGGCCACATCATGAGGAGACAGGAAAGCCTAGAGAAGACAATTATGCTGGGGAAAGTGGAAGGCAAAAGGAAGAGGGGCCGACCAAGGGCAAGATGGATGGATGGCATCCTTGAAGGGACTGGACTGACCTTGAGGGAGCTGGGGGTGGTAACGGCCGACAGGGAGCTCTGGCGTGGGCTGGTCCATGAGGTCACGAAGAGTCGGAGACGACTGAATGAATGAACAACAACAACATATCCAAATCTGTTTGCAGAGGAGGCTGAGCAATCCACTTGCTAGCCCCAAAGAGTTAATTTGAGGATATTCATTTAATTCAGGGAGATTCACTTGAATTAACTGCTGAATAGTAAGTCAACGTGTCCCGAGAGACTTGGGAAACACATGTAAATCCTACTGATTCGGTGGGTCTACTGAGCATCCCCTATCGTAAATGCTTGGGACAAAAAGTGTTTTGAATTTTGTTCTCTACCCCCCATCCCAAATTCTGGAATACTTGGATCTGCATACATGCATCTTGGACAAAGGACCCATGTTAAAACACAAAAATATTTATGTTTCTTATATACCTTAACACAAAGTCTGAAGGTAATTTTAAACATGATAGAGAGTTTCTCTACATTGCAACATCAAAAAGCAAGGATATCACTATCTCTGCCATCCATGTGAACAGTTATAGAGCATTTTGGAATTCTGAATAAGGGATGTGCAACCTCAATTGAATTTAGGCAGAAAATCCAGCAGAGGCTCTTATGAGACGAAGATGCCATTTTCACAAATTCCCCTAAAGCCTACTGTAAAGCTACACACACTCTCCAAAGGGCACAGGAGATTACAGTATGAAAGAGGAAACAGGGAAAATATCCATGTTCCCTTCTCATTCTTTATTGATCCTCTGTGTTCATTCAGGAGAAGGAGTTTCAAGACAGTTTACATAAAACCATTCAACAATATTGCTTCCTCTGGCATATGGCATTGCACTAGGCCAGTATATGTTAACTCCACACTGTAACCACACACCTTAAAATATAGATATTTTAATACAGGCTGAAGGCAAAGAAACCTGTATGGCATCTGTGTCTTCAGCAACCACACCAAATTACTGCATGCACCCACACAGACCAAATGGATAAATGTCCTGCTGATAAGATCTTTGTCTAATGACTAACATTTTTCCACAGTGCGATTCAGCATGTCCTTCACTAGATACATCATGTTCTGACTTCTCCACTCAAATGGTACACCCAAGCTGCAAATTTAGTGTGACTCATTGTGCTTTTTTCCACTGATATGTTTTGAAGTGGTATTTAACAGCTCTACAGACTTAACAGAATACTAGACTTATGGGAAATAAGGTAACACAGATTCTATGTGGAAGAGATAACTTAATTCTCCAAAGCAAGATGAGCTGATATAAAATATACCTGTTTTTCATAATGGTCTATTCTTACAGGTAATTCTAGAATTAGCGTTGACTGTTGAATTGTCTTAACGACAAATCAGAGCTACTAAAATAAAAAGACCCAAGCAGAAACAAAACACTACTCTTACATTACAGGAAGGTTTGCATTATGTATGAAAATGTATTATCCACTACATAGTTTGGAGATTCAGTAAGAAGAGTAATGGGTGGAGCCAGGAACAGCTGCAGAAAAAGGTGTTCTACCCTTCAATTATAACCTCCAGTTTATCACAACATGATGGAATTGCATCCTCCAATGCATATAGGACCAAACCTCTAGGCATAATCCTCACATTAATGTGGAAGATCACTGTCATATCACTGTCACATCAGAATAGAATTAATGCAAAGTTTCACAAATTCACCAAAAGCCTGTTCCATATTTGTAACATTTACCTTAGAATCTAAACTCTATTAATTACTGGGAGCTTTGTTTATAATCCCAGACAATATACAGCCTTGCATTCATGGAGGCTTATATAAATAGATATCTCGATCATCTTTTTTCAATCACCATTCTAAGCTTCTATCTGAACTTTTTGGGTGAGAGCAAGGCTACCTGAACGACCAAATCTTTGTACATGAATGGACCTAGTTTCTAGATCTAGGGAAGTAACGCTACCCCTCTATTCTGACTTGGTTAGACCTCACCTGGAATATTGTGTCCAATTCTCGGCACCACAATTGAAGAGAGATATTGACAAGCTGGAATGTGTCCACAGGAGGGTGACTAAAATGATCAAGGGTCTGGAGAACAAGCCCTATGAGGAGCAGCTTAAAGACCTGTGCATGTTTAGCCTGAAGAAGAGATATGATAGTCATGTATAAATATGCGAAAGTAAGTCACAGGGAGGAGGAAGCAAGCTTGTTTTCTGCTGCCCTGGAGACTAGGATGTGGAACAATGGCTTCAAACTACAAGAAAAGAGATTCCACTTCCTTACTGTGAGAGGCGTTCAACAGTGGAACTCTCTGCCCTGGAGTGTGGTG